TAGCACTTGGCTAGCTACTTGGACACCAGCAGCAATTTTTCAGAACAGTGTGTGAAAATGAGACCAAATGAACAAAACACTGTCATTTATTTATTATTGCGATAGCAATTATATGGACACTCTCGGCTGGATTTTGCCGCCGGCGTCGGCGTGGGGGTCGGTGTTGATGTCATGCACCGTATATGTATATGTGTATATATATATATATATATATATATATATATATATATATATATATATATATATATATATATATATATATATATATATATATATATATATATATAATATGAAAACGCAAGAGAGGAAAAAGTCTCCGGCGGCCCGCTGAATCGAGCGGGGGACCTCCCCATCGTGAACTGGAAGCGTTAATCACTGAGCCAAAGAGTGTTACCTTTTTCAGCTTTCAAACGTCAAGCTATTTGTATCTACCACTTACTGCTGTTGGCGGGCATTTCCAGGGATGGGGGGGTAGGGGACAATCGTGTTTTTAGCATTATCAGCAAGATAGCGCAATGAGCGCGCGGTGGCTTTCATCTACGCGTACTTTGGCCCGCGGAGAGGAGGGGAGTGGATGATCTCGGGCGCGCCCTTATCTCCCGGTGGGGAGGATCACACGACTTGGCTGGTGTTGGGCTTGCACTAGAACAATTCTGTTGTAGTTACAGGGTGCACAAAGGTCACTGCAATTGTTGCACAGCCTCCATTTCTGAAAAGGGCGCGCTTTTCAGACACGGTGAAGTAACAACTGAGACGCTTATTCGCGTTCATCTGTACCTGTGAGTACGTTTCGTGCGTGATTTGTGCGTGGGAAACGCGGGGCATGTTTCGATCTGCTTGCCATTCTGCACGTGTCCTTCCAGTTTGTTGCTATCACGTTCACTGCTTCATCATTGCGGCAATGCTGTGACTTTTTTGGTTATTAAAAACCTTCAGGGCCAGAGGTATGGTGGCTAGAAGGAGAGGTGTCAGCATTGGTGCACCGGACAGAGAACTAGAATTCATCCAAATGCGCTGGCGCTGCTGTTTGTTCCAAGATGCCTCCCTCACGCGTGCATAGCGGTCACTTTTTGCTGGACCTATTTCACGATGCCATGCCAAATACAACAAAAGATAGTTGGCACTTGTCCAGCAGCTCGCTGCAGAGCGTGTATTTGCACCTAAAACTGATGTTTTGACGTTTTACTGTATATTAGCTGCGTGTGCCACTCGCACCCCGAGGCGCTTGAAGATGGACCTGCTCTGAGCTAGGCATCCAAACAATGTCCGTGCAGTTGTCGCTTTGATGTTGCATTGTTATCAGTGGCATTTCAATTCATGTAGAACCATCAGCAAGCATGCTTGAACGTTTGATTTTGCATAACTTGCAAATGAAAAAGCAAAGTGTGTTTTGCACAAGCTTTAAAAACACATTTATTTTGTCACACTCTTACAATTGAATGAGAAAGGCATCATATATGAATCACAATGCGCTCAAGCATCCACTCTTGTTGAAATATCCCACTTGTTTTTCTCCTTTTCGATGCTTCAATGCGTTTATGTATCTGCACATTTGCTGCTTTTTTGGCAGGCTTTGTAGGTTTTCTTAAAGGGGCCCTGAAACGCTTTTTTGAGTAACAATGGAATTAGTTCACTGGAAAAGCATATTACCTCACGAATTGAACGCGCAAGAATTTTAAGAATCCATCTAGTACGAGCGGAGTCACAAAGATTTGTCGCACCCTGCAATCACATTCTTTCTTCTCTCGTCCCGACGAAAGCGCTGGAAACTGAGCAGGCAGGGATGGGAGGAGCAAACGAAAAACGTCACTCGCACCTCATGACCTTGAGCTTTTTTTTTCTTTTTTTTTTAAATCTTCGTATACACGGCTTTTTTAGTGCAATCGGGCGCGCAAGCGTGGACAAGTGACGGCCTCTTGCGGCGACCTCTGTAACAACCGAGCGCGCCATGTTCAAATCAGCCAATGGCTGATAGATGGGCTTACTGGGCTTATTTTTTGGGATTTGTTGAGAGAAGAGAAAGCTATTTTTAGCTGGCTTTGATCATTTATTGTGAGTTCCAGGCCGCGTGCTGCGCTATAATATTTGGCTCACGTGTTGTCGGGAGCCTCTACTACCGATCGGCAGCGTTTTTTGACCATGATCAAGAAGTGTTGCAAGGCCCCCTTAAAAGCCAGAGCTACTTATGGCTTGGTTGTTCTGTTGTGCCTTTCGTATTATATCACTCAATTGGAAATGCTGCATTTTTGTTCGTGCGTCTGCGCATTTTTTCGCACCAGCTTCTGTGTTTAGTTAGCTCTTGACTGTCTTGTGTTTGTACGCTTGAATATACCATATTTATTCGATTCTACCGCGCCCTTGATTGTAACGCACACCCGGTTTCCACGACGAAAAAAAAAAAGTTAGACTTCGATTGCAACGCGCACCCATTTTTCTCGTTGGCCCGCACGATCACACCACTCGAAAAAACGACTCCTTTCGGGAGCGTCTTTCATTTAAATATAAGGTACGGGGGAAGCTTGTGCCCATCTGACGTGTAACAGAGCATTGCCGTCACTGTAGTTTTACCATGGACCGATGTCAGCACGCGAACTTGCTTCGCCCCTTTCGTCTCGACGGTTGTGGTGCCAGGCATGTCGATGTAAAGAGGCGTCTGATTGGCATTCCGAATTTGCCCAAGCAGGTGGCCGTTGTTGTGCCGCAAGTTTAGGACGAACCTCTGAAAACTGTGAAGCTTTTCATCGTACTCCTCCGGAAACTTTTCGCATATGCCCGTTCACCTTCAGAGGGAAAAGCCTTTCGTCTATATAAAGTTAGTTAGCCGGCACCTGCTCACTTGAAACTGGCTCCGCATTAGCCCTTTTTCTAAGGCTAACTGCATAGCCCGCACTTGGAGCAGTTTTGTCGTCACGAGCCGCTGTGCCGCTTGCTGCTCAAGCACATACTCGCCAAGCAGCTCTTCAACTTGCGGAAACCGACCCTGCTGTGGTCCACTGAAGCCTTTGCGTGAAGCTTTGGTGTCGACAATCTTCTGCTTTTGTTTCCGCCAGTCCCGCACGCACGTTTCGGGAACTCCGAACGACAGCGATGTGGCCCAATTTCCGTCCGTTTCTGCACACGCGATGTTTTTGAAAGCGGCATCGTGGTGCACTCGAGTTTTTGGAGTCAGCCCTTCCATGCCGTCAATGCTAATGCACTACAAGATGACAAACGGCTCAGTACACGTACGAAGTGCCGCACATGGGAAACACATAGGTAGAAATGGCCGACACGCCATGCCGACGCACGTAGGGGGCAGCCGTTTTGAAAATGCCGATGGCAATAGAATGACTGTATTCATTTTTTTTTCGTGTTCGATTCTAACGCGCATGCGATTTATGACCTCGCTTAACCGGGAAAAAGGTGCGTGTTAGATTCGAGTAGTTACGGTAGTATGGCTGATTTGTCATTTGCCTACGAACCTGCACTGAAAACATCAAGTTCAATTCTGAGATATCCCACAATATGTCAGGCTGTGCATTTTCTCTCCAAAGAGTGCGCTTTGTTATTTGCACAATCTAGTATTCCTGTTTCCATCTCAAACCCCTTGCAAGGATTTATGGCGTCCATTTTCAGGCCCTTAACTTGAGTAATGCTGTTGACATCCTCTCTTTTCACTAGAACACCTTGTACAGTCACGCCTAATATGAGTTGCAAGATCCTACTTGTGGCCAAAGCGGCGCCAGCACTGCACGGTGGCGTCGACATAGAACGTTAGTATCACCAATGTGAGAACTTTTTGTACTGCTGATTTTAGCAAAACAAATTTTATTTTTACTATTGTTACAGCAAAGGCTGGGGTGCCTTCAAGCATAGCTTCCACGTTGCAAGTCATATTAATTGAGCGTTACTGTACATATGCCGTGCAATAAAGACTTGAAGCGTTACTTCTTTTCAAATCACAGTTCCCACACTTGACGCACGCATTGAGATGCTGCAATATTTGTGTCATTTGGGATGACCTGTTTGGTCCAGTATTTACTAGAAGCCCATCTTGCACCATGCTTTCCGAGATATTGTCGCCTCTGTTACAGTAATTCAACTTCTGGAACCTTCGTTTCAGCACTGTGGAGTTCCTCGTTAATAGTCTACCTATCTTTGCTTTGAAGTCGCACTTGCATTGTACGACATTGTCTTTCTTTTAAGAGGCAGTTTCTTTGAAAGGTAAGCAGGCACATTTGGAAGTATCGTGGGAAGCGCATTCGTCTGTCAGTGTAGAATGATCACGGGGGACTTCCAGAGACGGACGATGAATCTCTCATCTAAATGAGCCTCGCACATAACGCAGTTGTTCTCCAGTGGCTTGTCAGCACGAGTAATCGCACACTTGGATCGTTCGTCGTCGACAGGAACAGCGAAGAGAGACCCCTTTCTATATAGCAAAGCAGGGCTTTTGCTATTTAGAAACCACTACAGCATGGCCACCTTGGTATGTAAAGATCCCAAACAAGTTCAAACCAGCACACTACCGCAGACATGGTTACAACTCTTGCCTGTACCTGTCTGTAATCGACTAAACGCGCAGCGCCGGGGCTCGGCAAGTGCTCGATGGTGCTCTTTACAGATATCTGTAGTGACGGGCGCGCCACACTGCGGTGGCACGAAATATCAGCACGCCTCAGAACACAGCGGGGCTGAGGCAATGCTGACACCTCTTCTTCTAGCCACCATACTATAGGCATTAAAGAGGGAAGTGGTCACAAAAACGACACAAAAACAAAAAAATATATAGAACATTTCAGTATAAAAGGCATGTGGTTATACAGTTTTAGTTAATATAACAGACAGATAAAATGTTGACAGACAAGTGATACACAATAATGGCAAATGCATTGCAATCACAAAATATGTAAGTATAAGAAAAAAAAAATCATGGCCTAGAAGAACTCGTCTTGCACAAAGTAAGAAAAAATTCAACCCAATACTTTCCCTGCCCTCTCTCTGTTTTTTTTTTTTTTCAGATATACTGTGTGGGCCAGGGTTTTCACCTCGGGTATTTGTGCACGACTTGGGGAAAGGTGTGTGTTTTGCATTGTCTTTATACAGTTGAATGTAAAGTATGAATACATAAGGCAATTTCTCTCTAAAGCCCTCCAGGAATAAATAGATTGCAGAGCAAATTTTATTTTCTTGTATTTGGCTTGTCTTAGGACACAAGAAAGCTCTGTATATGGTAAGTTAAAATTCAGTCTAAGTTATTGCAGTGTAATGTATTTTATTCAGTGCCGCATGTGGAATTGTTCAAAGTAGTAAAAGCTAGCATTGAAAATAATAGCGTTTTGGCATTTGAGAGGAGTGCAGGTATCTGTGTTGTAAATTTCATGACCAATTTAGGATCCTATTGGTATTTGACATTTGTGATACATAAAGTGCAGGTTTATCCACAATCCAACGGTATATGTATCAGCCAGTGTGTGTGGCACCTATACTGGGCAGTTTGTTTTAACATATTGTTACGAAAAAGAAGAGACACCGTATTGACGAGGCTGTGGATGAAATATATTTCAAACCAGCAGCAGCGGAATGACCGGTTGACCAGACACCGAGCGGAGACCACTTTTCGTCCTCTTCGTCAGGCACAAACGTGCATCGTCCCTCAAAATGTCAACATACATGTAGCAATATTTTGACAGTGTTAATACAGGCTTTTGACAATGAAAATGTGTGTATGTAGATGAAATCTTGGTAGTTTTAAATACTTAACCAGATTTAACATCAACCAATTTGGTGGACGAAATATTGAAAGAAATTTCAACAACATGCGAAGCGGTTGTCCTTTGCGCATGAACTACCTGCGAACAACAAAATTTAGTTTTTAGATTTGAGCTTCACTCTGACGGAAAAGGACATGTGTAGGTCCTACTGGCCTCGTTAGTGCAAAGAGCTTATGCTCTATGATGCTGCCCAACCTAAAGTAGTTAAAGGGACCAACAACTGCCCAGAACATGAAATGAGATGACTGCGCAGATGGAAAGATTGTCCTTTATAGTGACTCAAACCAACCATGTTTTTCTCGCGAAAAGTGAGTGATATTTTTATTTATTTTTGAAAATCATTAAAATAACCTGTGGTGCCTCCTGGTTTCAGAAACTTCAATTATCCAAGCTGCCCTGTCGTGTGACCGCAAACTAGTGTACGCAGTCAACAATTTCCCTGTTAGTAGCATTGAAATATCGTTTGTTTCTTTATAGTAAAATACACATTGTTTGCTTCTTCATAGTAAAAGATATTACTCCATAAAACTGTAAATATAGGCCTGCGTTAGCTGTACGCATAAAAGTGGTGCTTCCTTCACATGACGTAATCATTTCATGCTCGTCAGCACGTCTTGAGTAACTTTTCTGCGTGTTCATGAAACCGTGCACGTAGGTTTCAGGTCGCTATGATTTCGGAATGACGTAGTTTTTTTATTTATAATTTGTCTCAGAAATGACATGCACTGCTTGTCTGCATGGCCGCACATATGCGCAGTGACGTTTTCGGTCACTTGGCTTGTGTGTCGAGAGAGTAAGGATGACGAGACAAGCCCTCCATGACACAAGCACAACAACCTTGGGCACAGGCACATGCAACACGGTACAAATACAAAGAAGCTGTATAAAGCTAAAGCGTCTCATTGTAAAGGCTTATCTCAAAAATAGTTGTAAAGCTCAGAATAAACGTGGTTAAACATAGTTACAGTATCTCCTGGAAAAGCAGAATAACGACAGCATGCACAAGTCACTAGAAGGGCTACCGGAATCGCTATCAATCTTCAGCATTGTTGGAAAAATGGGTACATCCATGTTCAGAGCCTTCCAGATTGATAAATACTGCTTATAAAATAACTACGTGCTTTTGAGATTAACTACTGCAGCAACGAACACTACGAAGGGTAAGCTCTCTGTCGCACCGGAAAAAACTGGGTCGAAAAAAATCAGTTGTTAGTCCGTTTAAGAGAGGCATTGCTTTTATGCGCTTGGAAGGTACACTGGCTTAGTCTTGCCCTAACGGAATGCAGGAAAGCTTTGACAACCAGGTCGGTTAGCAATATTCAGCTGGGTATCAAGCACCTGTGGTGTTTTCTGTGCCAAAGAAATTGTCGGGCCTGTGCCCAAATTGAACTGTCCCCTTTGGTAAGAGGCATGCGAGACCCTACGTTACCTGTGCGATGAGAGTGGTCTACGAACTGCTGATTTCCTGTGAAAGGGCATTAAGCAGTTCGTGTAAAGAAACCTATCATGATCGAGAAATTTCATTTGGATCAGGTCCGATTGCAGACACCCTTTGACAATGATGCAGAGATATGTTGGGCTTTTTCGCCAGCCAGCTCTTGTACAAAAAAGAAAGAAAAATCCACAAAAATATGAATTCATGCAAAAGGCTCTTGTTCAATGGCGCATTCTTTCGAGTGGCCTCGCATTTTAATGGGAGGCGCTGTCGACGGCGTTTACCACGAGCGAAGAGTCCCAATAAATGCAAATAATCAAACCAGAATTGAACCCAGCCATTTTGCTTGGTTAGCAAGGAAGTGTTGGCAACCAAATATTGTGCGGCAGAACCACGCTAGTGCTTAATCCTTTGAGGGATAATGAGGCAAATGTGTCCCGCTTTGTCTTCTTTAGTAAAAGCTTTCTCTGCCACTTTGCGTAGCCATCAGCTCAGTGCTTTTCTGCTACAGTGTATCAGGAACATTTAGGAAACCAAAAAAATATGTTTGGCACATTTGTGATGCATGTTATTGATGACACATTCAGTTTAAATTTATTTCGTGCTGTTGAACGTTTTTTTAGCATGGTGTCATAATGTGTGCAAGATAGCTGAAGTTCTTGATTTATGGTATTTTTCATGCAACTATGGATTTTCTTTCAAAACTGGAGCGGTATATCAGCCAAAAATCATGTAGGAAGTGCACTTGACAAAAAATGAAGCAATTCCTTACTTAGCTTAACTACATAACATGCATGCACACCTGTTTTCTTCTAGTTAGAAGGGCATTACTGCATAACAAAACAGCACTTTGTTACGGAGAAGGCCCTCAAGGTTTTTGCCATCCTTTTTTACCACTACGAGAGCAGTAGCAATTAGATCAAGAGCTGCGGCTAGAATGCTGTTTCTGAAACTGAGGACCAAAGGAAAAGAATGACAAAATTAATGCTTTAGAAAGCCAGGAAGTGATCAAGACAAATGCACAAGATCCATAAGAAAAGCTAATATCTCAGGCCTGAATAGAGTTCACTAATCTGACGCAGCAGGTGTAATAAATGCGCTTACAGGATTCAATGCATTCAGTGACATCAGGTCTATATGGTTTGCCATTATTCATGACCACAATTTTAAATATGAGCAGAAATTCAGGCATAAGTGAGGGGTTCATCCTTATCTACACCAATCAAAGAGACAGAAAGAAGCTAAAACAATTTTATGTGTGCAAAGACCTCAGACTCACTGGGCTGAACACAACAGGCAGCTGTGCAGATTGTGTACCACATCTGGAAATAAAGTACCCCAGAAATTTTTTTTGCACTGTTTTTGAAGTGTCCCTCTGTACTGCTTGCATCGAGCCTTTTTGTTCCAGAAATTTGGCAAAAGGCTTGGTGCCGTTGTGAGACAATGGGACAACTGTTGACCCACGTTTTCAAAGACACTTTATGGGCCAATGGTACACACTCGTCCCACTTTGTTCTCATAAACTAATGGTCATACTTTGGTGAAATTTGCTGCATAATTTTTCTAAGCATGCTATTTAGGAATTCCTCATGCATACTTTCAGTTATCATGTGAAAAATAATAATGAATCCACACAGGGTTAAAACTGATTTATAAAAAAACAATGTGCGCACAGAGGAAGTGGTGATATGCGCAACGATTGGCAAAGTTCATGGGGCTTTCACCCGCTGTAATGTTGTTTTCGTGCAATGTAGCATGTTGGTGCTCTCGCCGCCATGCGAGAGATGGCGCTGTTTCTGCGGTGGCAAGGTTTGGCAGGTGTGCTGAGAATAGCAGTGACTAGCTTTTGGGATTTGGCGTGGTCAGCGATGGTTCGTTATCGGGAGGTTCGTGGGTGCGATATTCTTTTTTCCGCGGACTCTTGTTGTGAGTCAAACATCGGCGACAGTGTTCATGGTTCAATGTACTTAATGTTGGTTGTGTAAAGTATGTTATTAGGAATATGTCACTGCGGTTATTTCTAATATTTGGCTGGTGAGCTCACCATTATGTAAATTCTGTTAATAAATATAGTATATATTTGTGAGCGTATATTCAATTCACATCTGTACGGTCAATCTATTTTTGTGCTGCTAATCTTTTTTTGTCCAATTCTAATAAGAGGTCCTCGCACAATTCTTACTTTTGTGCCTTCTGAAAATGTGGCACCTTGATGTATGTGTTGTTTCTTAGGACTTTGTTAATACACCTAAAATGGCCATGTGTTCATTGTACAGTGGCATGTACTGTGTCCCTCCCCGCAGGGGCGCCTGCGCAAGTAGGCGTTTGGTGTGTAGCGACACCACGGACCCGAGCTAACGGGGGAGTTTCGGCTCCCTCCCACGCCTAGCCGTGCGTGGCCGGGGAAAAGGGGATCCTGGGGGTTGAGCCAAAGCTGGGTGATTGGACCTTGAAGGCCCCCCGGCAGAGGCAACACACCTCTTTGGCCCCGGCTTCACGTAGACGGCACCCCTGGGCTGACCCACCCAGGGGAAATCGGCAGTCGCCTTTTCCTATCTCTCTCTTCCTACATCTTAGTCTTTTCTCGTCTTTAAATCTGTCCTGTCTTCTTCTCTCTTCCATTTACTTCCGATTTTTCATGGCGGCAAGGGTTAACCTTGTGTAATTACTCAACCTTGAGTAGTTATATTTGGTTATAGTGGCAATGTACGGCTGGCGTCTGCAGCCTTATGCTATTAAGTGCTTCAGCGTCCTCTGGTTAGACTCCATGGTGGGTGGTCGCCATTGCTGCCGAACAAAAAGTACATTACTATGGGAACACCTGCATTTCCCCGTCTCCTAGATCGTCTCCCGCCTAAGAGGGGACGCA